CAAAATATCTGGAGGATGATAAATATGTGTCTTTATTACATTTTTATACTGTGCAATAGCTGGCAGTTCACAACAATTGAAAACATAAAATACAATACAAAATGTTAAATGGTGCAAGCTACAGTGTAAAATAATTGTAAGAACTAGACTACGATATAGACCTACAATACCGGACTCAAAACAGACTGGAACTAAAATTCCTGGGAAAATAAGCTCCTCACCTGGCGCTGGAAAGAGTGCAATGTAGGTGCCAGGAGAACCTATCTGAGAAGTTCATTCTATTGCCGGAGTGACAGATGTTTTCAACTACAACTGGAATTCCTCTGGTGTGCAGCTCAGATCCAAAGGGAGAGGCAAGACAAGGTGCAGCAGCAAAAGAAGTGAGGAGGTGGAAGAGGCGTTGTGCATGTGTGTACACACAGGGAAGGGGGCCCACTGAAAACCTCTTGCCTAAGGGGCCCCCCAGAGCTTGGAACCAGCATAGACCCAAGTCTGTAGAGGTGAGCTCCTTCACTTCCCTTTTGCTCAATGGCTTCCTCCCCACAAAAGTCCACCAAGTAAAGGCTAATATCTCCTTATTTAAACTGCTGGATCAACATAATGAAACTCAGCTATTGTGTTGCTAACTAATCATTCATTGGCATTATTTTCAACTTTCTGGAGAAGTGGCCAACAATTCAATACTAAAAAGCATCCTCTTAATTGCTGTGACAACAGAAGGGCGAAATTATGTTCCCAACTACTGTTTTCTGTGTGGTGTTTGCACACAAGGGACTATGGAGCAGGTCCATACTTTGGTAATAGGGGTAGAATTCAGCATCCTAAGAATTCCAGCACACACACCCCGAGGGAGGGAGAGAAACAAGCTTTCTTGGCGCAGCAGAGAATCAGCTTGAAAATATGTGAACATACTTGCCAACTCTTTGGAAGCTGGAGGAGCTTCCAGTGCTCTGTATAGTACCTCGCCTTTCTCTACGATTAGCAAAAAGAGATTAAGTTATGCCAATAAGCAAGCAACATGCAAATCTGTTTAATGTGAACAATGGAGACAAATTACTGGCTTTCCTTGGCAAAGAATCCAGATTTCCCGTCCTGCTGCACAGACCTGTATCAGTAACCCTAACCAATGATGCCCTTTGACCACTTGGAAATGTAGGCATGAGAACACACTTGATGCACCATTCAGCACACCTCCTACCTTTAATACTGTTATTCCCATCTGTCCTTCTACAGAGAGTCATCCTGTCATTTGACTTCCCTTTCTATGGGCATCACCTGCGGCAGGTCACCATAGCAACAGGAGGTGAGCCTCACTGTGTACCACATCAGGTATATGGGATGCTGTTTTGCAAAGATTCACAGAATACAGATCGGTCGCTGAAGCTGAGTTTCAGGAGCAACATGGCATAAACTCTTTAGATCATGTCCTCTATGACATTCCCACTATTTTACTCTCTGTCCTTGGTCTTTACCTATAGCCACTTTGAGTATAGGAAGAACAAGGCCAGGCTTGTCCCACCCCACCTTACACTATTGCTGCCTGTCAGCATGACCAGGAAGTACTTCTTTCAGTCCTGAAATGAAAAGGGTGATGAGGATACTGAGGTGAATCTGCGGGATGATTATTTCTGCACTCATTCGTTTGGACTTCACCAGTCTTCCCTACCCTAATCTTCTGCAGCTCTTCAAATGTGGTGGATGGTGGATTACAACTTCCACCATCCACAGCCAGCACTGCACTGTTGGCTGGTGTGTTGGGAGTTGTAATCCAAAATATCTGGATGGCTTGGGCCTAGAAGGCAGCTGGTCGGCCACTGTGTAAACAGAATACTGGATCAGATAGGACATGGGTGCAGAACCTCAGGTGCAGGCGGGAAGTCTGGTCCTCCTGGGGCCTCCAGGCCATGACGGTTTCTCTTGACTACTGATTGTTTGGTAGTTTCCTCTCTTCACCCCCACTCCCATTTTAGAAGATTGAAATGCCTCTTTTTAGTTACTGGCAAATGCTTCCTCCTCAATTATATGCAGCCCTTCCTTTACGATCTGCCACCCACTGCTAAGGAGAAATAGGAATGCTAATACCCCATTTCAGGAAGATGAGTGAAACCATGAATAGACATTAAGTTGCCTCATGCTGCATTTTAAAGCTGACTTAGGTTACTCTAACCTTCCTCAATCTGGTGTCTTCTAAATGTGTAAGACTACATGTCCTATCATTCCTAGCCAGGATGCCCATGCTGGCTGAGCATGCTAGGAGTTGTGTTCTAACACATTTGAGGGTCAAGAGATTGGAGAAGGCTTAGTGTGAGAATCTCTTCTGGTTCTAGACAACTCCTTTGTGTTTTGCAACCCTTCCTGACCTTTGTGGTCCAGAGTTTCCATTTGTGGTGACATCTGGCATCTATCTGTGCTGTTTGCTGGAAGAGCTGGTTTCTCCACCTTTTGTGCAGTCATCAAGTTGGCAGCAGTGGCCCTCTCCCAGTGGTTGGGAAGGCTTTCCTTCTTTTTAGATCCTCAGCCCATAGTTGGTTGCTAGGCTTATTTAAACCCGCCCTACCATTAGGCAGAGTGATGCGGCTGCCTTAAGCACTTGGTTTGCAATGTCTTGAAAGGGTAGCAAATAGTTATATATGATCACTGTTTTTTTACTGCCAGAAGCATTGAAAAGTCATAACATCATCTGCCTTAGATGTCAAAATTACTACGTAGCTTGATTTGCAAGGTGTGGGCATAATTTACTGCTCTACTTCAGGCAGCAAAATAACTTGGACCAACTCTGGCAGTAGAGCAACTTTTGTATCTCAGTGTAAGGGTTGAGTGAAGTGGTTATCTTGCTGATTATGTCCCCACTCCTTGCTTCCCCTAAAAAAGACCCCTGTTCCCATCAGGGCATCAACCCTATTGATCTGGAGGCTAGCAAACTGCTGAATCTCTTTCAGCCCAAGGGCTAATTCTATGCATGAGAAGCTCAGAGGTGGGCTAATTCAAGTGGTGAGGCCCAGTTACCTCAAATACCAACATACTATCTGGGTTCAGACATGTTAACCCATACTCAAGGGCTGAGTTTGGTTTATTGATGAACCATGGATTTAAATGAAGGTCATCATGCTGTCTGAACCCAGCTGTGCCAACAAGCTCTAACTTGTTAACCATGAACAGCCCACAAAGAGGATGCATGGTTTATTGTTGGGCTGAAGTTGGGTGAAGTACAGGTTGCTCCCCATAGTTTGTTATCTTGGCTGAGTTCAGACAATACAATAACATAAGGTTCAGCAATAACCAATAGTCTACCTTTGAATGTGTATTGTCGTGTTGTCTGAACCCAGTCCCTGTAGTTTAAAGCTCTCAGCTAAGCCTTAGGAGAAGCATTGCAACCTTTTAAAGTGGGGAAAATGAATAAAAGTCAGAAAAACATAAAAAAATCTTTGTTTTGGGGTGGGGGTAAGGGAGAAAGATGACCACAGTGCAGCCTGTCAAGAATCCTAGCAGGCCAGATTTGCCCCCCCCCCCACCCCCCCGTGGCTCTCTCTCCTGCTTCTCCACATTCTCTCTTGGAGGTAGTACAGGTGATTTGTCCAAAACCACCCAGTGACTGAATGAGAAACTTAAACCTGGGTCTCCTGAATCCTTGGCCTATGCCCCAACCCAGAGGTGTGGAATATGTGGTCATCCAGATACTGTTGGATTATAGTTCCCATTCTCCCAGGCCATCCTGCACATGGCAGATAGGAATTGGAGTTCAGTGACTCCAATTGAAGTTCCAAATGAACTCCAGAAGCTCCTTACTTCTGCTTTAAATTGTGATAATATAGTGGGGATGTGAGACTGAGGTTCCTTGGAGGGCCAGGGGAGAAGGCAGTGGGATGGCAGATTGCACCAAACACCAATAAGACGTCGTGGTGGTGATGTGTTGTATGACTGAAACTCGTTCCCTCTTCGTTGGTCTCACGCCAGGTTTTCTCTTCATGGGTGACATAATTCATCGGATGCTGACAGCCACGCAATACATCGCTCCTCTCATGGCGAACTTCAACCCCAGCTATTCTCGCAATTCTACTGTCAAATACTTCGACAACGGTGAGGTCCTGCGGGAGTTTCCTTCCTCCTCACTTTCACGCACCACTGCACCCCTCCACCGCACAACTAGTGTAGACTTGTGCAAATCCTTGGAGTGCTTCCAAGCTCTCCTTCTGAAACTACGTTTGCAAAATGCTAGCGACAGCAATTGCTTCTCTTTTGTGTAATGGGTTTTCTGTTTAGAAAAAAGACAGAAAAAAGAGTGGGTGAAATCAGGATTACAACTAGAAGGTGGCATTGGGTGTCGCCCCCTCCCCCACTCCCACCATGCAATTCTGTGAAAAAGGAAGGGTGATATAACAAAGCTATCGTTTGGAAGCCCCAAATTCTCTACTATTCCCTGCTTAGTCCCTTTCCATTGCTAGTTTTACCTGTAAAGATGCTGTCTGCAGAATCCCTCTAGGCAGTCGAGTCTAGTCTAGTCTAAACAGGTCTATTCTTTTCTATCTTATTGTATTTTATTTTATAGCAAGAATTGTTTGCCATGGATTCAGTGCTGCAGGATGACTGGAGTCAGGGTAAAATAGAGATAAGCTGATTTCTTTTCAGCTGACTTGATGAAGTTCACATTCATTCTTGTGATCTGCTTTGCAGTTGTGTGTGATTCAGTGCCTAGCTGTGAGAATGACAGCTGATTATGAATTGGTAATTAGTATAGGGGGGTGGATAAGTGAGAAAGGGTTATCACACAGATACTGTGTGGTGTGTGAGCATGCGCACTTGTGACACAGTTCTATCAGTGCCTCTGGAATAACTGTTACCAGGGTTACCAACTAGCCCGGGTTAATGGTTTTCATGGGGTCTTTTCAGAACTGTCTCCCTCCACCCCCAAATCTGTTTTTAGTACTCTCCTTGATGTATAAGATTAGATTATTTCAATCAACAAACATGTTTGTAACACTTGCGTATGCAAGTGGCTACTGCAACAGTCCTGCTGAACTGGGAAAGCAAAGGGCACAGAGCTTGCCGGTGGGAAATCCGTAGCTGCCTTGACGGTGGCCCCTTGCTGGATTATGTGCTTCTGGTTACCCAAATGGTAAATGGAAAGCACTCTGTGCATTCTTAGAAGCACACTTCAGCAAGTGAGAAAAAGCACTCACATTCTCTGTAGATATCTATACTGCTCGTGCTCTGTGAAGACTAGAAGTGGGGAAAAGAATTTTAACTCAGGTTACATTGCCCAGCAACCCAAGGAGCTCATGTCTGCCTCCCCATGTTGCATGGCTTACTTCCTTGAGTCACCTGGAGCTAAATACAGGAACCAAAGTTTTTGTGGCATATTTGTCTCAGCTTTGTGGCTTCATATTACCTAGAATGGTCAGGCTGATCCATGCCATGCTGGGCTGGTTTCTTCCTTGTTTCTGTGAATTATAATAGAGGAATCAGGTTTAGTCCTAACCCGTACCAGCTCTGGGGACAAAGCTGTCATGCTGCTCTTCTCATTCCCTCTCTGGCTCTTCTGTCTCCACAGGAACAGTCTTTGTGGTTCAGTGGGACCAAGTGTATCTGGAAGGGAAAGAAGACAGAGGCTGCTTCATCTTCCAGACAGCTTTGCACAGTGATGGCAGAATTGTCTTTGGCTACAAAGATGTGAGTGGCTCAGGTCTGTTGCAGAGAATTGCAGATCAGGACAGGCCTCTCCAGCTCCTTGGTGTTTGGTGAACCTTTTCAGCCTTGTCATTTAGAAGGAAGAATGTTCATGAAGTGCAGGCGGGTGTGGGGGGAAGTTGAAAGACTCCTTGATACTTATTTAACTCCACTGATGGGATTTTCTAAGCACTTTCTTCTTTCCTGGCTCCAGATCCCCATGTCAGTCTTGGAAATTAGCTCAACACAACATCCAGTCAAAGCCGGCCTCTCAGATGCTTTCATGATCCTTAACTCCTCCCCTGGTATACCTGGTGAGTCTGGGCTGACTAAAAGCAAGGTTGCATAACAGAAAATAGCTACGAGATAATTATGATTCATAGACATGTGACTCTATATTGACCAGGTTCAAATAGCCTCAGTAACCAACACTTAAGGGTTTATTTAGTAATTATTTATTATATTTTTATGTCGCCTTTCTCCCATGTGATTCCCAGGTGGTCTCTCCTCCAAGCGCAGGTCAGCTCCAGACCTGCCTAGCTGCAACACTGTTGATGCCTAATATGCCTTCAGACCACACTCAGAGGTTGAGTGTGGGTTGAGCGCAGGTGGTCATTGAACTATGGATTGTAGTTGAAACTTGAGTTATCATATTGTCTCAGCTATGATTTACTAAAAACAAACAACCCATGACGAGAACCCATGTTTTGTTGTTGGGTTGTGTACTGTGAATTTCTCGTGGTTAACAAGCTATCTTTGTTTTCACAGCTGGGTTCAGACAAAAAAGTAGCCCATGTTTCAACAATAAGCCCCAGTTCAGCCCATTCCAGACTCAACCCTTGAGTGTGAGTTATCATGTTGTCTTAACAGAGCCACTGATTTGATCAAGACAGGGCTGACATCAAGAGTAGGACACCCCAGCTGAAACACACTGACACAAAACCCTGGAGCACTCCCTCCTCACCTGTGCAACCTGCTTGCTCACCTGCTTCTTGATCTGGTCTAAACAAAAGTAGCGGTGAAAAGAAGGCTCAGCAGATGCCACTACCTTACTTGCTGGACTGGATCCTAGATGGTTAAACTACCTGTCTGAGAATTACTCCAGATTCAAAGGGAAGATGCCTCTGAGGACCAGTTGCTGGAGAGCAACAGGGCCAGGGACTATTGCCTTCCTGCCTGAGGACATCCCAGAGGTATCTTGGTATTCCCTGTGGATGAAAAAATGTTACTAGATGGACTTTCAGTCTCATCCAGAGGAGTTATTTATATTGCTACAATGGGTATGCCAGTACTTACTGTTATTATTATTAAATTGCCTTTATATTCCACATTTTTCCTCTTGCAAGGAACCCCAAGAAGCTTACACAGTCCTCCCCCATTCCTTTTTATTCCCACACCTCTGTGTGGCGGGTTAGGCTGAAAGTGAGTGACTGGCCCAAAGTGCTCCAGTGAGTGGCAACTAAAATATCGATCTCCCAGGTCCCAGGCCCACTACCATAGCATGCAGTATCTTGGATGGACAGCATCAAGGCACTGCAAAGTCACTTTATGGTTATCTGCAACCGCAGGGCTCAGTCTTCACCACATGGTCCTCGCTTCCATGCAATAAGGTTAAGGAAAGGAAACAAGCATGTCCATTGTGGGTGGGTAGGGAACTGGATTGCAATTCCCTGGAGGCTGCCTGCTCTAGGGAGTTTGGCTCAGGCTGAATGGTGCTGCTTAGTCACTAGGATGACACAGCTGGACTGCCCAGTGCCTGGCGGCACCTTAATATGTACCTGAGCAAAGGCTTGTGGGGTGTGTTTTGTAATTATACCCCACAAAGCAAGAAGCGGAGCACTGTCCTAACATAAGACGCCTCCATATCTATTTCAGAATCTCACCGTCGGACCATCTACGAATACCACCGAGTGGAATTGGACACAAGCAAGATCACAAGTGCATCAGCAGTGGAGTTTGTGCCTCTGCCCAGTGAGTTGCAGCACAAAAGTGCATTATGATGCCTCTGTCTTGTGCAGAGTTGCTCAGGCATTTTTGACATCAAGTGTCTCCTTTAGTTATGGAAAAAAGTTGTGTTTGCACCTCCCAGGTCTCATTAGGGTAATATAAAGATGTATTAGCTAAGCTTGACCTCCTCCCGGTTCTGGGGCAGTTTAGAAGACAAAGATGGGAACGAACCCTCCATGCTCCTTTCTTCTAAATAACAGCATCCCATAGTTTATTTGCTCTTCCTTCATCCCCCTGCAGCCATGGCACAGAAATCCTTCCGTTTCAGGAAAACGATAGAAACCATGCCTATCTCTCCCTCCATAGGAAACTGTTTTGGCCAGACACTGGTCCATCTTGTCCAGCATTGTCCACTGACTGCAGCGGCTCTCCAGGGTGACATGCGGCAAAAGGGCTTCTTTCTCATTACTGCTGGAGCCTTCTGCAGACAAAGCATGCACTCTGCCATTAGCCCAGGTCCATCTCCAGATCATCTCCTGCAGAGGTGTTGATAGTCATGTTTAGGGGGCCAAACAAAACCCCTCCAGGGGTTCCTCAGAAGGCCATGCTTCCCCTTGATTAGCCGTTGCTTGCTTGTTTCCTGGCTTTCACACAGTTCTTTCCCCATTCTGCAAGGCTGAAGTGTTTTGTATTTTCTGGCTGTTTTGAAATAACTTCTAAGAAACTCAGGGTGGGTGGGTGGCTTGGCTCAATGGGCTGGCATGGGAACCCTCAAACCCAGGGACAAAATCCAGCCCTCTTGGATTCTCCAGATGGCCCCAACACCTTTGCCCCAAGGACCTACTGCTTGGTGGTTTCTCACCCTTTGTCCAATTCCCTCCTCCCACACAGAAAAAAGATAGCAATACCTTTCCTAAGGCTTAGTTACTGGCAGTAAGAGCCACAATATGCTGGTATTCTGGCTCTGTCCTTTTAGCTTCATCTCGACCCACCACTAGAATGCTTGCATTCAGTCCTGAGAAACCTGAGCTACAGGGCATGTGCTGAAAGTCTTTTAAACCATTAGGAAGTGCTGTAGTTCAGGGTGCAGGAAATGCTTGCGTATATCACCACAACCTAGTTATTTATCCCTGAATTTATTTTGATATTTTTATTATAGTTTTAGAGCATCCCAGAAACTAAAGTTCTCTGGGTGGTACACAAATAAATTTCATACATACAAGACAATAAAAAGATGACAATAAAGCAACATATGATAAAACCAGAAGTAAAACTAGCAGGAAGGATGGAATAGTGCCAATGTATAAAAGCACTAAAATATTTATTGGCTCTCAGGTTGTAGAACTGGAAAAGAATTGCTTCCAGAGCTTCCAAACTTCAAAGGAGACTATGTTGAGCTTGAGAACCAATGATTCTCAGATCCTTTCCACAGATCCTTTTCATTTGGTTATTGGTCCTCATTTTCCTAGAGGTCATAAAACATATATTTTTAATTTTTAATCATAAGAAGTATTTTTTCTCCTTTTTAACCATTTCAGAGCATTTCTTTACAAACTTCATTGCAGCAGAATAAGCCTGTCATAAAAGACCCAATGGAAGTGGCTTAAATGTGCAACCTTGGTATCTTCTGGACAGGTTTATTCTCTGCTGGGTATTTATGGTCACAGGTAGGTCTTTTCATCTTCACTGGCATTGTCCTCAAGAATAAATGTTATTCTTGGCTCTTTTGGGTGGCATCCCAAAGTCTGAAGGGACAAAAGATACAGGGTGCTGCAGGGGGCATGACTCAGTCTTGATTAAAAGTTGAGTGAGAGTACACCAAGTCCATGAAAAGCCTGTGAGATCTTGATTTTTAAAAAAATAATTAAAATGTTTCTTAAATACAGAACTGATTTTTACTTTAATCAGATTTTGTATCCTAGCTGGCTTCAGGGCTGTATAATGGGGAAGTATATATACGGGGGAAGTAAAGTTGAAAGATAGAGGAGAAGGAGAGACACTGGGAAGTACTGTACAAATCCATATAACTGGGAAAGTAGCATAAGGAGGTACTTTTTAGTAGACAAACAGCAGGAGGGGAAAGGATTAAGCAGCCCCCGCTATGCCATTCTTTTGTTTCAAGTGGCAACCTCTTGCAGTTGATTTTCAGTTTTTAAGTGTTTATTTTGTTTTACTTCTGTACTGCTCAATAGCTAAGGCTTTCAGGATGACTGACAAAAATTCTTAACAGGACCATTAAAACAACTGTGTTTTTCCCATAATACAAAATGTTAACAACAGTTAATTTCATCCATCCTGTAAAGCAGTTAATGGCTTGGATGAATGGATGAATGAATGAATGAACAATCCCACACACTACTAACCTCATGAAACCATTATGCAGCTTCAGATGTCCTTAAATGCCTCAGCCTGGTGCCAAAAAGAGGACAACATCAGGCATATCACAATGGACAGATCATTTCAGTCAAGAAGCCACTACTGAGAAGCCTCTTCCCCTTGTGGTTCTCCCTTGAACTTCCTTTGGGAATTGGCATCTGGAGGAAGGCCCCAGATGTTGATCATAATTTTAAAAAGAAAGTGTGACTGCTTTTTGACTCAAGGCTTAATAGTTTTACTGGAGGGCAGCAGGGGGTGAGGGAATATCTTTAGAAGATAACTTCTATTCCTTCCCTTCTTTCAGAGTGGAGTAAACCAGTCTTGCTACATGTCTGAAAGGTGTGTGTGTGTGGGGGGGGGGGGGGGATAATTCTGCTGGTTCATTGCTCCAGAATCGTGCCCTAACAGCTCCATTGTGAGACTGTGCATTTCTCCTGCATATCATCTTGTTTGACTCTAAAATCTGGAAAGTTGGCTGTCATTTTGATGAATTGAAGAAGGGAAATCCAGGATTCCTGCACAAGCCATGAATGGTGATTGACAGATAGCATGAAATCAGCATGAAAGCATTTTCTTCAGTGATTCTCCATGAGGGTAAAGCTTTGGTAAAGCTGCTGCCAAACGCAATGGAAGGAGGTTGGGATGCATTTTCACTTTACTGTTGTTACTATTGTTGTTGTAAACTAAATTACAAGCACCTCCAGCTTGTTACACTGGAAAGATCACACTATATCAGCCCATCATTTTAGGGGGAAGGAGGGTAATTGGGGGAAGAAAGGCTTTACTTTTAAGATAGAAAAGATTTCAGCCTCCTGCATTTCTCTGGATTTTGCGGGTTTATCCCAGGATAAGTCCCAGCAGGAGGAAGTATCATGTTTAGAAAAACATACATTTCAAAATAACTTTTCTGTTCCCAAATGTCCTCACTGTGCAAGTAAAAGATTTCAGCAAGAAAATATAGACAGAAATGCAGGTTCAGGACTCTCTGCCATGAGATATTTTGTCCCTAAAACAGCTGGTGCAAGAATGGACATGATCGCATCCTGGAAATGTTAAGGAGACAGGAGCATACCTGGGTTTAATTTGAATGAGATTATCAAGACTGAGCCTCAAGGGTCAAGCCCAGAATGGATGAAACGAGAGAATAGCTCCACTTGAACCCACACCTCTTGGATACAGGGGGGATACCTTCCAAAACAGAAAGTACAACTACTAGGCTGGTTTGGTCTCAGCACTTCTCATTTTAGAAAATAAGGACACTTACTTTGAGTACACTTACCTTTACTCTTTTTCCTCCGCAGCTTGCCTTCAGCATCATAGCTGTGAAGTCTGCATGGCTTCTGATGTAACCTTCAACTGCAGTTGGTGTCATGTCCTACAGAGGTAAAACACACAAATGTGGGAAAGGATGCATAATGAAATTTCAAAGGAGTCTAGTTAACTTTCTCTGCCTTTGTCCTATCCTGAGAATTTCACGTAGCACAGCTGTAGTTGTATACGTTGGTTCAGTGAGATGATATTAGGTAATTTTATCGTGCATTCTTATGCATATTTGGACAGAATGCCCTTCGACTCCCAACCAAAGGATGTTGATACCTGTTGGTCTTTTTTCTGACTAAAATGCAAAAGACTGTGCCATTAAGGACCTTATTTTTTAATTAACGTGATAACTCACACTCATGGGTTGAGTATGATTTGTTGTTGAACCATGGGTTGTTGTTGAAATGTGGTGAATCATGTGGTGTGAATCCAGCCAAGATAACTAACCATGATGAACAATCCATAGTTTACAACTCATCAACAAACCATGGGTTCTCTTCATGGATTGTTCATTGTTTATATGCCATAGTGTGCTATCATGGCTGTGTTCGTACAGCATGATAACCCACATATCAATAACAACCTACAGTCAACCCATACTCATCTCTTCGGTGTTGGTTATTGGTGTTGTCTTGACCCAGTCATTGTCATACATCACAATGCAGTAAACCGCCCCTTCTGTGTGTTAGGTGGCCATGGACATAACACCAAAAAAGAGGAATCACATCTCTGCACAAGAGGACAAAAGGGCTCCCATCTGCATAAAATGTATATGAGTGAACTTACGCACATACATGCATATTTAAAAAGAAAGGCAGACTTTAATTTAAATGGAAATGCAGTACGTCTCACCAAAATGAAGAAGATTCTAATCAGGCAACCTGTATGTCTGCTCAGTCTGTGCCGGATGGACAACTTTCCCCTGGCTGCTCTTCCTTCTCATAGTGCTTTATCTTTGGGCTGGACACTCCTTGAAACAGAGAGTTGTCATTTGTAAAACAGGACAAATGGTCATGCTGGCTCCATCGGAGGGGAGCCCTCCTGCTTATTCTGCAAGATGGAGCCCTGGAATTCTGTCTCAAAGCCCTGTCCTGAATCCACCATTGCATTTCTGTGCATCCATGGCAGAATAAAAATGTAGCCAGTGCTTTTGGGTCTGCTCTGATGTAACACTTTTCTTAGGAAAGTATGCAGGGATTTGTAGCTTCTAGCAGTTCCATGACAAGTTTAATAGGGTGTCCTGTTCTTATAAAGCCAAGGAATTCACCTGCAAAAAGCAGAGGGAACTCTTAGAATGTGCTATCAGAAATGAGGCACTGCTCTGTCCTATTGCTGACCACAATGTCTCAGAGCCACCGTTGGAACCAGATGCAAAGAAGGACAGTAAGGGAGGATTGTTTTAATTTATTTTTAGATTTCTTAACTCTTTGAATTTGGATTCTTTGTGGGGCATACATTAAAAATGTACAAATGATTCTATTCTGTCATGAATACAAGCTGTTTGGGAATTCCACATAAGGGCTCAGATTGCAGAAGGCTGCAATGACTTCAGGGCTTGTTCCACACTGCTCATTAGGAAAATCTGAATGCATGCACAGCCTAAGCCCAGCGTTCCTCTATGGGTGCTTCTAGATGGAGGTCTTAGAGCCCTGTGCTGCTATTCCAAATTTTCTCAACAGATTTTTATGGTAAAAGAAAATATAGATGAAGCGGTGGGAAAACATGGGAGGGTTATGAGTGGAAGCCATTATCATCTGCAAAATTCAGTGAATGAAGCAGGAAAATGATGTGCTATAAAAACTGCTCTTGGAACAACCCTACATTTGATATGTGGCCAGGAATCAAAGACATAAAGCTAGTCTTTTCATTCCAAGTCTTGTATAGCCAAGATGCCTGATTAGTCTCCATTTCAAGTCTCCAGTAACTTGCAATATTTCCCCATTATTAATTTTTAGGTTGTTTTCATGTGCAGGTGTTTCTGGGGAAAGTAGAAATCACATCAAGCTGGAAAGTTTGCTTGTTTCCCTTAATGAAGCATCCAAAGGACTGAAATCCAAAACCAGCTTGTACGGTACAGATGGATAAACTGATACAGTTTGCCAAGTTTTTACTTGTCCCTTCTAGAGAATCAGGATATGCTCTTTTCCAACAGACACAAACACACGCGTAGAGCTAGAAGGAACATTCAGTTTAGATTCTTCTGACCCAGCTGTACTGGAATGCCCAGTTCCTCAGGGAAAGCCCATTTGCTGTCTCTCTCCCCCTGTTTGCCACATATACTTGCCTGTGTAACTGCTTTGCTACCACCATTTGGGAATTCCGATGATAAAAGCATACATTCAAAAATAACCCAGCCCCCCCCCCCATGTAGAATGAGGCCAGATGGTCACACTGCTTTCAGTTTCCAGCTTTAAATGCATTTTGAAGAGAATGCCTCCCTTGCAGAGCAAGCTGTTGTGTAAATGGTTTTTAACTCTCCTGCCTCTGCAATGAAGGCAGGAGCTGCAGTTTGGGGTGAGGGCTAACAGGTTCTGTTCACGTAGATCGAGGGTAGGAGTCTGTATTTTTAGGGGTTTGTGAAAGAACCAACGTTGGCCCCATCTTGAAATAGGTTTTTATTTAAAAAATGCATAGTTCTGGTGAAGTACCTATACAGCATCAAGTTAAATTATGGAATTCAGCACCACATGATGTAACGATGACCACCGATTTGCTTGGTTTTGAAATATTAGGTACATTCATAGATGTTTAAGCTATTGATAGCTAGTAGTCATGGCAGGAATATTTTACCTCCGGTGTCAGAGGCAATATGTTTGTATGTATCAGCTGCCAGGGAATGTGAGACAGGGGATGGTATAGCACTCATGTTCTCCTTGTCACTTTCCCACAAGCAGCTTGTAGGCCACCATGTGAGGAAAATGCTGGACAAGGTGGACCATTTGTCCCGTCCAGCTGCTTCTTCTGTTCTTCAAGTGCTGGTCTGCCCAAGGGTGTTTACAGAGCTTTACCGTGACCCTTCAGTGTGCTAATTTCTTCAAGCTGAGCAATTTCCACTCAGATCCTCCAGATGTTTCCTGCCTGTTGAAGTGATGGCTGTTAGGATGCACGAGTGGTGCAATCCCCGCCTCACTCCAGAATTATGATTCATTCATCTACGTTTCTTCTTTTCACTGAATGCATTCAAGAAAACAGCAGTATAATTGAGATCCCCAACACAATCCACAAATTATTTCCTGGGTTCCTTAGGGGACACTTTGACAGTGAAAATGTTATCCAACAAATGCGTACTTTACCGAAGCGTTTCCCAATAGGTGTTCCAATGGATTTGACCGATACCGTGAAGAGTGGCTGGAATATGGCTGTGGGCAGGAGGTAAGAACGTGGTCAAAGCAAAGTTGACAGAAATATTCCGCGCTGGCTCAGGGTTCAACGTCATCCTCCCATCTGTTTCACACACATACAAAGGGACATACATACACCTACAAAGGGGCAGCCAAAATTACGATAGTGGTTTCTTTACAGGTTTGAAGAAAAGCCAATGGAAGTTTCCTTCCTAAGTTTAATAGCAGGGAGGGGAAATGAGAGGTGATTTTCACTGAGACCTGAGCAGAGGAAGAAGGGGTTAAACACCATG